CTTCATGGTAGAGAGGAACAGAAATTTCAATTTATTTTTAGGCAAAAGAAATTAGACAACAATAGTACCCAGACTAGAAATGGTAATTGTCCCTCAGTCCACCTATCTCCCATTTTTATAAAAGAGATATTCTTTGTGGTCTCTCTTCTCAAGATACCCTCACTAATGACTTGTTTCTACAAAGAAACAAGTAATTCAAATACTTGCTTTTAAAGATCTATAGCTCTCATATTTACTACATTGAATCCATCTCCTTGTGTGATATAGTTTTAAACATCAGAATGGCACTGTATAATAAATTAGATGTGGACAACTGAATAGTATACTTAATTATCTGTCCTACTTCCAGTAAATAAACCAGGCTCTTGTTTTCTTACAAGTAAACTATCATAACTCCTTATTAACATAAACTAGAAATGGATACATTTCCCTGCTAATGATATTAAGATACATGTCTCCACTTTCAATCAAGAAGTTTAAAAGCTAGGTGCAGTGGTGTGCACCTGTACTTCCAGCTACTTGGGAGGCTGAGGCAGGTAGATTGCTTGAGCCCAGTAGCTGGAGTATAGCCTGGGCAACACAGTTAGACTCTGTCTCTTTAAAAAATAATACTACTACTAATTAATTAAAAAACAAGAAGTTTAGAAATTCAACCCTCCTCTTTCCTGGGAGAGTAGTAAAAGTATATTTCCTAAAATACTGTTTCTAAAATTTAAAAAAATATACACAATGTTTAATAAACCACTACCTTGCCAAAATATTTCTACTAATTCTTGAGCCTACCACTAAGCTAACTTACTATAAGTTGCTTCATTTAACACTATCTTTAAAGATTAATCAGAAGCTTTGGCATAAGACATCTCTATGACTGCAAGGCAAAATGAGATTTAGGATGCTTATAAGACCAGCTCTTACTTCATTTTCAGATTCCTTAATTACTTGTTTTCAAAATCAAACCTAAAAAAAGCATTTTTGCTTCATAAACTAAGAGGCCTCAACGTGGAAAATTTGTAGAGTGAAAATATAGATTTTGCATATCTGTACGACAGGCGCTTTAACAATTCAGAAAAGGCCAAGGATTGATAATTTGTTACATGTTCGGTAATTTTCCCCAACACAGTAGGTAACATGCAAAATGAAAAGCACAGCCATTATGTTCCTGGCTTTCATGGCAGGGTATGATTTTATTATCCAAACTGAGACATTTCCGAGAAAAAGGTGCACAATCATTAATTATGTCTGGATAACAGGCATAAACTGAGATTATACCCAGACAACTTGGAATACATAGGAATCCTGTTTAACGGTAACTTTGCCACCAAAGAATCTGGTTATGTTAACTTTAATATATGCCAATAGACAAAGCATATTTAGGCAGAGCTTCAATTCTAAAAGAAATAAAGCAGATTGAAAACTCAAGCTTTAATCCCTGTGCTAACCACTTTATATGTTTCTGATTTTTAATACAGTATTCTACTATTCACATTAAAAAGAATAATTGTTACCTAGCCAATTTCAAAGTACCTTACTTAAACATTTCCTAAATGATCTGAGGAAGAGAGGTAGAAGTATTTGGACGTACTTGTTGGGGTATTTGCGGAAGATGTCCCTGATGACGACAATTGCCTCTTGGACAACATAATTTACTTTGGTCTGGATTAGATCAAGCAATGTGCTTACACAGCGCTCTGCAGATTGCTAGAAAGAGGAACACAAAAAATGAGAAGTCAGATGATCTATCGAATAATACTACCCCAACATAAAAATTTTGTAACATACAGGTATATCAACTAAACTATTAGGCACTTAATTTCACCAAGCTATACTAGAAGTTAGGCTATTTGATATAAATATATAGAAGTTCTAGATATACCACAAATTTTACTCATTATAAAATATGTTGACAGATGAGTCAGTTGAAATGAAGAGTAGATAGCCAGGAGAATAGAAATGAGAAAAAAAAATAAACCAACATACGAGAAAAGAATAAAAATTAAGGAATAAGTGAAAGTAGGAAATCTTACTGGCTATAATAACCAAGAAGAAAAGAGAGAGGATTCAAAACAAGTTCAATCAGAAATGAAAAAGGAGACATTACAATTGGATATCACAGAAATACAAAAGATCATCCAAGACTACTACGAACACAAACTAGAAAATCTAGAGGAAATGAATAAATTTTTGGAAACACACAACCTCCCAAGCTTGAATCAGGAAGAA